AGTGCGGCGCTCCCTCAGCTCTGACCCTCCGACGGTGCAGCGCTCCCTCAGCACTGACCCTCCGACAGTGCCCCCTCCCTCAGCACTGACCCTCCGACAGTGCCCCCTCCCTCAGCACTGACCCTCCGACAGTGCAGCAAACACACACACACAACTTCTCAAGTCTGGTGTACTATGGCTTGTGGTCAAATGGATTTTTACTCTCAGCACCGTCTCCCGTCTATTCCAGGTGAAAATGGACTCTCTCCACCCTCTGCCGCAGTGATCTACAATTTGATGCAATTTTAAAGCACTTTGAGAAATTTTCATTTTCAGTCTGAATAGCCAAATTCTCACTTAGTAAGAGTCACAAGTTTGAATTTTAAAGATAAGAACATCCTCATTCTGTCCTCTCTCCCTGCTATTTCTGCCTACTCCTGCCTTCCTGTCTCTCAGAACCAGTGCCTGTTGCAGTCCACCTCTACAGACTTCCTCAGTTCCTTCACCTTCATCCACCTCATCCTCCATCCAAACAATCTCATTCCCATCTCTCTGGCCCATTCCGTCATCAGAACAGGATGAGGACATTCAGCCCCTTCAACGTGCTCCATCATTGAATGATATCACAGAATTGTTACAGCACTGAAAGGGTTCATTTGGCCCACTGGTACTCCCAGATAGAACTGGTCCAGTTCTATCCCCTAGTGCCAATCTCCTGCTTGGTCCCCATTCCCTACACACCATTTCTATCCATATAACCATCCAACACCCCTTTTAAATGCTCCACTACATTTCCAGGCAGTGCATTCTACACACTAACTGCTCGCTGGGTGGAAAAGTTTTTTACTCTTACAATGTTTGCACCTCACTTTAAACCAATGCCCTCTTGTTTATGTTCCTTTTACAATCAGGAACAGCTTCTCCCTCCCCACTCTGTCTAGCTCTCTGAAGAATTTGGAAACCTCTCTCAGATCTCCTCTCAGCTGCCTTCTCTCCCAGGGAAACAGTCCCAACTTCTTCAATCTATCCTCATCACTGAAGTTTCTCATTCCGGGAACCATTCTTGTAAATCACTCTGCACTCTCTCCAATGCATTCAGGTCTTTCCTATAGTGTGGCACCCACAACTGCACACAATACCCCAGCTGGGGTCTAACAAATGTCTTGTATAAGTTCACCATCACCTCCTTGCTCTGTTATTCCACACCCCCATTAATAAAACTGAGGACACTGTCTGCTTTATTCACTACTCTCTCCCTGTCTTGCCACCTTCAATGATCTGTGCACATACACACCTAGGTCCCTCTGCTCCTGCACCCCCGTTTAGAATTGTACCCCCTGATTTTAGATGGTCTTTCAAAGCTTTTCTGATCTCACACCTCTCTGCATTGCTCCTCATCTGCCCCCTATCCACCCACTCTACCAACTTGTCAATGTCCTTTTGGAGTCCCACACTGTCCTCCTCACAATTTACAATTTTACCAAGTTTAATGTCAGCTGCAAACTTGGAAATTATCTCCTGCGCACCAAGGTCCAGATCATTGTATCATCGCTGGACTGTTAATGCAGAGATGTGGTGTTCCAGGCACCCATGTTTGAATGCTGCCACAGCAGATGGTGGAATTTGAATTCAATAAATATCTGGAATTAAGAATCTAATGATGACCATGAACGCATTGTCGATTGTCGGGAAAAACCCACCTGGTTCACTAATGTCCTTCAGGGAAGAAAACTGCCATCCTTACCTGGTCTGGCCTACATGTGACTCCAGACCCACAGCAATGTGGTTGACTCTTAACTGCCCTCTGGGTAATTAGGGATGGGCAATAAATGCTGCCTGGCCAGCGATGCCCTCATCCTGAGAATGAATTGTGGAAAAATACTTATATATTCGGACAATCAAGGGTCCGACTACCAATCCCCAGGAAACTCCAATGCATAAATGTTTGGGTTGTGGGTAACAGGTCCAGCTGATACAATTAGATCCAATTTGTTTTGTGTAATAACTTCCCTGCTTTTGTTCCTTTTTTGTCCAAATTAACCTGTTCAGACACATCCTGTCACACATTCAGTGCAGATGAGACTCGAACCCATAACTTCTGGGCCACAAAATGTTTCCATATCATGACTAACCCTAACCCTAAACTTCACTGATAGGAGGAGGAGGCAACTCGGCTCCGCCATGCATCACAATCATGGTTGATCATCCAACTCAATAATGTAATCCTGCTTTCTGACCTGCCTTGGCCTTGAATCTCTCAATAAGTTTTGATGACAAAAACTTGTCAATTCCGGATTTGAAATCCCCAATTGATCTCCCTTCAATTGGCAACTTCTCCCACGCTTCCTGTGTCAAAATGTTTCCTAATTTCACTCCTGAGTGGTGGCAGGAGTTACTGCTTTTCAATTTCACTTCTCCAAGTTCTTTTCACTTTCCTGAAGAGGCACTGAGCAACTGGCTCACAGCCTGCAAAGTCTCTTAGCTGCTGGTTAAAAGCTGCAGATTATAGCAGTTAGTCAGAGAAAATAGTGGTTTTCTTTACTACAGAGAGAGGGGGAGAGAGAGAGAGACAGGTTCCATTGACCTACATAAGAACATAAGAAAGAGCAGCAGGAGTAGGCCATCTGGCCCCTTAAGCCTACTTGTTGCCAGCCAAATCTCCTTCATACACAGCCCCTGGCTCCAGCCCATCTGCAGTAACCTCCCCCACAGCTTGAACAAGCAGCTGTGTAAACAGTACTGACAATGAGGGTCAGGTAACTTGTTTAAAAAAGTACAGCAATCCTTCTGACAGTCTCTGGTCCTTTTCCCATTTCAATCCACAATTAAAATACAGAAGAATAAAAACGATACAGCTGGTGAATCTATACTGCATCCACCTGGGACAAACCCTCCTCCGAGAGGCTCAGACCTCTGAGCTGCCAGCAGTGAATCTGGGGTTAGTCTAACCGGGGTAAGGGGGTTTATACAGCTGAGGCATGACTTTCATAGCCAGGGACACCCATGTCCCACAGGCGAATGAGAGAAATGGAATTGGAAGATGGAGGTGATGGGTATTGGGGGTAAGAAGGATGAGGGAAGGATCACATTGCGATATTGGCCAATCGGTTATATTGCGTTGAGCTGGTGTGTAGGGTAGGGTAAGGATTTTGAGGAGTGGAGGTTTGAGGGTAGGAGAAGAGGGCCACCCGAGGGAGGGGATTGAGGAGGGAGGGGGTTGGAGGAGGCGGGACTACAGTTGTGTCTTCTGGTGTCTTCCCTCTTCCTGCCCAGGCCTGGGGAGGGCACCATCAGTCAATAATGACACCGGAGATATTGAGGCCAGAGTTCATGGAATCCTGCTGAAACATTCTGGTACCAGACGATAAGGGAGTTGTTGGTGAAGCACAGAGATGGGTCTCTTAACAGACATAGACATGAGCTCAGGACATTGATAACGCAAACACCCAGCATTTTGCACCACCTCGGCTAGAATGTAAGGGGAGAGAGCTTTAGGGGAGGGGTTCCTCAAGGTTAATCAGTGGGCAGGGGACACAATGGCTGCCATTGGAATGGGAATTGACTCCTTCCTGTGCAATGAGGGGGAGGGAGACGATAAAGCGAGGCTGAAAACCTCACTCAGGAGATTTACAACGAGGATTTGTTTGTATTGCAGTGAGTGGTGAGGATGGGTCATTCTGGAAGCAGTCACGAGACTGATAGATTACACCATCCCAAACTGACGAGAGTTTGAAACTCTTGACATTAAAAGGATTTTATTAATTTCAGATGGTGCCTTCCCCAGCTGCCAGTTACTGTGGCCAACAGGCCTGTAAACGATAAATAAAATCATTTGAGGGCTCTGAAGCAAGCAGTTTTAGCTTATCCATTTATTTTTAAATTATGATGTTAGATGTTGTTTTGTTCTCCTTTGGTGAGCCTTTTTCTTTCTGCATATGCCTGCTCTCTCTCTGTCTCTTTCATGTTCTCTTTGTCTCTCTTTCTCTCTCCCTCTGCCTCTCTCCCTCTGTCTTTGTCCTTCTGTCTCTCTCTCTGTCCCTCTCTCTCCTCTGTCTCTCTGTCCCTTTCTACCCCCCAACCCCGTCTCTCTGTCCCTCTCTCTCCTCTGTCTCT